AGGCAGGCCACCAAACCACTGAGCTAAATCCCCGGCCCTCTAGCTAGAATATAATTTTTTTTAAATTTAAATTGAATTTATTGGTACATTCTAGGTAGATAGTACAGTTACATTCATTACTGGGATCTTGTACCTTTACATGTCAGGTCTTGGTTCTCATTTTTTCCCCTTGTCCCCACCCTACCTTCACCCCCTCCTCAGCTTCCCACCTTCAAACACTTTAATTTCATTTTTACATTTTCTCATATTTTTTTCCTTTTCCCTTATTCCCCTTTCCCTAACCTTCTCACTGTCCCCACACCTTTGTAGCTAGAATATAATTAATTTGATTAAATGGTTATACTGAATTCACATATTGAAAATCACATAGTAAAACAACTATAAATATGAGTAAGGTTGTATAGTCATAATTATTGGCAAAATCAATAAATATATATTATACGATAATCAAATTCATTTAATAGCTTTCTGTAATCTGTATTGGTTGGATAATTGTTGACTACCACAATCAAAAGTAAACAGAAATTAGAAAACACATAAAGCTAGGTGTGTTTATTGCTAGTGGAGGATCAATGCTACTACATGCCCTCAGAGTGAGGAGATATGTGTGTGCACACTAACCTGTGTACATATACATACTGATAAATATAATTAACTCTATCTCTAGCTACATTAAGCATGAGTTCACACAGACATCTCCAACTCCAATCCATTTAAACATAATAATATGAAGTTAGATATGTCCTTTACTTCAGATACAATTATTTAATTATAAATGTTTTGTCTTTTCACTTTTTGTTTTGGTACTGGGGATCAAACTTGGGACCTTGCACTTGCAAGGCGGGCGGCGGCACCACTGAGCTAAATCACCAGCCCTTGTGTTCCCACTTTTGAAACTGACTGTGAGAAGGAAGGGTCTGCCTTTGCTAATAAAATACCCACAAGCACCTTCAAATAGCAAAAATTACTAAATCAGACAATCATAATGCTTATAAGATACAGTCTATGCAAAGCTTTTATTTTTGAACCAGTATAGGGCTTCTGGGAGAAGACTAAATGATGTAGGGGCATGTAAAATATTATGACTCATCCCCTGGTCACATGTGACTGAGCAAATGGAATCACTCAAAACTGGTCCCTTTTCAAAACTATTACCATAGGCACAACAAACAAGCAAACAAAAAACCAAACTTGCTCACCAAACCTCACGCCCAATTTTAGCTTTATCTGCTCTTCCCGAGCCTTTCTTTGTAGTCCTAGGAGGATGCTGTTCACAGGAGGAAGCCTTTTGTAATAAAATATCTATTTTTAAGAAAAGAGCACTATAAAGAAACTACAGAAACCAAAACAGTGTTCATATTAAAATGACAAAAGCCATCTAATTTGATATAAAGCCTCAAAGAGGACCAGGACATAAATTCTAGGAGCTGATACATTGTCTTGTGTTATAAATAGCTCTGTCCTGGGGGTAGACATTGTTGGAAGGCAGGCTGCACTTCAGTTAAATACAGACACATAGGGCTACATTTATTGGTTGCAAGAGATCTGTTCCAACTAAATTCTAAAGAAACCATGAAAACAGACAACTGAAATGCTCCAAAAAACAATTCGTTTTAGGAGTGGGTTCCCAAATCTAGGAGATGGTCCAATAGCTAAAATGAATTTTCCTTTAATTTCTTTTCTTTTGTTTTAATTGGTGTTGGATAGAAGTTCTGGTGGAGAGATAAAAAAGGAAAAGAACTGTTTTTCTACCAGTTATAGATAGGTCCTTGCCCTTTGTACTGGTTCCTGCAAACACTTCTACCATAACCAGGAACAAAAGAGAACCTGCTTGGAAATTATCCAGTACCTTTGCTTTCCTTTTAGAAGCTTCCAACTCCATGGGCCGCCTGGCAGAGTTAAAAAAAAAAAAAAAAAAAGGTCAAGGTCAATTTTCTTTTTTCTGCTACTTAAATGAAAAGGTTGGGTGACTAAAACCCTAGGGAAATGAATAAAATAAGTCTGGGGACTAGACACCCTGGAGTTCCTTTCACTTTGCTTCTTTTTTTTTGTATTGGGGATTGAACCCGTGGACTTGTTCTAGGTAAGCACTTCACCACTGAGCAATGCCCTCAGCCTTTTTTATTTTATTCTGAGACAGTGTCTCCTTATGTAGCCCAAGCTGACCTTGAATTTGCAATCATACTTCAGCTTTCTTAGTAGCTGGGAGGATTACACATGCGTTCTACCACAGCCAGCTCTGGGGGTCCAATAGTCCTACCTACAATTCTCTTTCCTCCTGTATTATTTTTCTTTCTTTTTTTTAAAAAAAAATCACGATTAAAATTTTATTATCACATCTCTTGTGAAAATTTAAATGTTACAGCAAGGTGTAAAACACTACACTGGAGAAAGAAGTGATACTTCTTCCCCCTCTAGTTCCCCTTACCCCTGTATTGACAGTGTCCTGCCCACACACAGTGACTGGGAAACTGCAAGGGCCAGGCAGGGTAAAGGCTGCCTGCTTGCTGGCTTCATCCTTTGGTTAACATCCAAGGGTAGACTCACCTCCTCATTAACTGCAAACCCCAGCCCAAAGAGAGAGATATTTACATGCGTTTTATACAAATATACAGGAAATCAGCTGTCCAGGAAACATGATTTCCACTCTCCTAGACTGATGGATTTGCAGGAGCAACAAAATGAAGAGTACTCTGCTGAGGTCTCACCATTAAAAAAAAAAAAGTCTCCTTTTAGTTGAGCAAACACCTGATTTGTTTGTTTGTTTGTTTGTTTATTGTACCAGAAAGTGAACTCAGGCCCTTGCGCTTGCCTGGCAGGCACTTTGCTGCTGAGCTAAATCCCCAGACCTGATTCAGTTTTGAAAAGTGAAATTGTGCAAGAATCACAAAGAGAGAAGACTGTGCATGTGACAGTTTCAGGATAGGGTAGAAGAGAAAGGGATGCAAGAGGCTAGGGGAAAAAAGGAGAAAACAAATTAGAAAGAAGGAGACTCACGGCATTATCTTGTCCAAATAAATAAGTTAAGCGTCACTGCAGCACTAAGGATTACACCTGTTATATATTTGCTACCTCTGCCATGGTTATTATTGAATACAAAATTAGATAAATGAAAGTACATTGGATATTGTAGTAAACAAGTGACAGAAATAAGCTGGCAACTATATGGAATTTAAAAAGGGCTGGCTCCAGAGAACTCCTGCGGTGGACAGCAGGCACAATGCACTGACAAGAAGCCAGTCTGCTCCATCTCTCACCCACAGCAGTGTTAAGGATGTGGGTGGCTTGCTAACTCTCCCATGGGCCCACTCTCACATAAGCAGCCTCCAAAGAGAAGCCCACACACAATCACAGTTCCATCGGCACCACTGCACAAACCTTCCCACTCCTATCCTGCAGTCACAAGTATGTGTCCCCAATCATGGAGTTGGTGCCACCTGAACTCCTCATTAACTGCAAGTAAAAAATTCAAAGAATTCTCAGATCACTTGAGATCCTTCATTAAAAGATCAATTGCCAAAAGCTGCAGTTAATTTCATTGACTATCATTTCACTTCTGTCTCCTTAACCATGGATTTGTAAATTGTGAAACAGCTTGGAAGAAGGAGTGGGTGGTAACATCTAGGGCTCAATCTCCTCTGATAATCTGATCCGAAATAATCAAGAGCTGACCATGAGCTCTTTTACAGAGAGCCAGGCCCTACTCAGTCAGACCAAGTGCCAACATTTACTATCCCTGCCTATTTCCTGGTAATTTTAAGACAAAGGTAAGAAGTACTCTTGGTGGACACACCTTAGTCACATATATCTGCTTTCGGAATGGTTCCTTTAGGATGAACATTTTTGCTTAAGTGCACATGACCTTATCATTACTTGGATGGCTTGGGGCCTTACTCACTCTTGATATTTATTTTTTATTTTTTGGTACCAGAAATCAAACTCAAGGCCTCAAGCTTGCCAGGAAAGCACTGCACTACTGAGCTATATCCCCGGCCCTATTTGTTTCTGTTTTTTTTTAAATGAAAACTTAAAAAACTTTTTTTAAAAAGATACCCTCATTGCACAAGTGACTACAGGCTACAAGTTCTGCTTTGGTACACTCGGCTCCCAATCCTCTGGCAGAAACAGGAAGGCCCGCGATTATCGCCAAAGGGCAGAGATGAGATGCAGACATGTACAACAAACACCAAAGAAGAATAATTTGTCTGTTTCTCTTAATACATATATTTATTAATACACTATATTTTTGGATTTTAAGTGACTTTTAATTTTTGCTTACAAAATAGATGCAAGCTGTAGAAGTATGTCTTGGAAAACAAGGAACTTGTTCCTAGAAATTCTTTAAAAGAGAACAATGTTATCAATTTCTTTTCCTATTCTTTTTCAAATTTACTGAGAAACTGTTAGGTTAAATAACATCAAATAGATTTTAAGCGTTACTACATACACGGTAAATTTCTGTGATTGTTTTTCAACAAATGGACACAAAGTACGAACGCTAACATCAGGAGATCCATTATTACTTAAGCAACAAAATTTATACTTGGAAAGACTGGAATTTCTGCTCTTGCCTAAAAACGCAGCAGCAATTTAGAGTCTGTCCTTGTGGGAGGAAGAAACACGCGTAGTCACAGCCCTCTGAAGGGGCGTTGCTGGAGCGCAGGTGCTAGGAGGAGGTTGTAGTGAGCGACAGTCACAGCCTCCCAACCAGCTCTCCGCATTTTGGTAAACAAGAAGACTCACAACCCGTAGTGGTAAATTTAGAACCCGATTGGGGGACAGCTAGGGTGGTTTAGAATTTGAGAATTTTGATTGGTTTACGTCCCTGTCTGTAAGATGATTGACGGTCTCTACCCCTGCCTGGTAGCGCTTTTCGGCTCTCCGCTCTTTGCCCCC